ATAAATAAATAAATAAACTATTTTTTAAAAAAAGAACAAAAGCACTAACACTCTGACCCACCTGCAGACTGGCCTGACCAGGCATAGACAGCTGGTCCCCTAGAATCTGCCTGGCTGTCCTGAGGTACAGCATGGCCAGAACTCTGGATCTAGTTGTGTCCCCCAGCCCCTCAGCACCGAGGTGGCTTTCCCCTTTCATTTGAAAGATCATGATGTAACACACAGAACATGGAATTCCCGTTTTAACCATGTCAATATATACGATCCAGTGGGACCAAGTCCCTTCACACTCCTGCACAACCACCATGCTGTCTCCTGCCAGAACTTCTCCATCAGCCCGGAGGAATCCCATGGAAGGGTCCTCCCCAGCCCCGCCTTCCCCCGCCCCTGCCAGCCATCCTCCTGCTTTTCATCCTGGTGGATTTACCCACTGGTCCCTCAGTATCCTCAGATTCCTGACGGTACCAAATCCACAGATGCTCCAGTCCCTGACAGAAGAGGGCGTCGTATCTGTGAACACCCGGCGCACACCCCCTCAAACACTAAGTCACCGCTGGGTTACTCAGAATGCCTGAGACCAGGTCGACACCACGTGAATAGCTGTTATGCTACATTGCCCTTTTATTTGTGGTACTTTTATTGCTGCCTTGGTATCTTACACTGTTTTTCTTGTCAAACATTTTGGCTGAGTCCACAGATGCGGACCAAGGACTCGGAGGGGGGCTGCAGTGCTTGAGGACAAGTGCTCACAGGTGGTGAAAGGGCTGACGCTGGGGCGAGCTGGTGGCCGCAGCACACTGCGAATACACCAAACACCAAGTTGTGCACTTTAAAACGGTTAATTGTGTGTTTCATAAATGTCACCTCAATAAATATAATACAAAATTACAATTAACAAAAAATGAACAAATGTATATTCCAATGTTATTAAATTATCCTATTTTTCCAACCTATAACTCACTGAATATTAAACGAATGCTCCCATCTCTAATCTCTAACATCCTTGTAGTCCTAGTAAGATACTATGTTAGGTGTGAAAAAGACAGTGTCAGGGAAGATGGGACCAGGACACAGGTGAGGTGCTGCCCTAGAGGAAGGAGAGTGACGACTTCTATTTTATCAAGAAGAAAGTACAGAAAATAAAACAGATAAAGGTCTAAGAAAGTTTACGGGCTTGGCTGTGGGCAGTTTAGGAAGTCTGTCCCTGATGGTTCTGTTTTCTCACCCGAGTAAAAGGCAGCTCATCTGCTGAGGGTGAAGTGGGGGCCCTAGGAAGATGAAGGCTCAGCATGGGGCAGCAGGTCGATCCAGGCATGTTACAAGTTGAAAAGAATTAAATAAACAACTCCAGCAGACATCCCAGGCAGTGCATCGAGCCTAAGCGAGTCAACAGGTGTGTAAACATTGACTCATTCCGAAAAATGGAGGAGAAAGATCCTGAATAGGATTAGCCAGGTGTGGTGGCAAGTGCCTAGAATCCCAGCTCCCTGCAGAGGCTGAGAGGATTGCTGAGCCCAGGAGTCCAAGGTTTCGAGGAGCTGTGCAGCTGGGCCACTGCACTCCCACCTGTGCTGGAGTAGTCCAAAAACATTGAGACAGGATTTTTTTTGAGACACCCCCCCCCAAAAAAAAAGAGAGGAAAAAAAGAGCTCTTCAAAGAGAACTCAGTGTAAAGACAACTCATAGGATGGGAGAAAATATTTACAAATCTTATCTCTGATAAGGAACTCATAATGAATGCAATAATAAAACTCATAATATTCCTTCCCAATTTGAATGCTTTTTTCCTTTTCTTGCCTAATTTTGGTGTAGAACTCCAGTAAGATGAAGAACAGACGCGGTGTGAATGGACACGTTCCCTTACCCCTGATCTCAGGGAAAGCTGAGACCCAGGACTGTGCCTCAGGACGTGAAGCCAATCTCCCCTCCTGCGATTGCCACAAAGGCAATCTGCTGACAGAGGCAGAAAGCAGGGGACCCCCGGTGGAAGCTCGGGGATTCAGGATGAAAAAGAAATGGTGAATATGGGGGAATTGAAGGCATAGTCACTTAACTACCAACTATTTAACCATATTCTGAATAACAACAAGGTTTTAGGACTAAGATTCATGGCAAAAAACAGGATCAAGAAAGAAAATAACAGCACATGGCTGGAGCGTGTGTGGCCTCACATACGAGGATGGCCGAGCTAATTGCAGGGCGGGAGTTCACGAGGATAAAATCCAGGAGGCCAGCAAGGACAGGGCAGGGGACACGGGACAGGCAGGATGGAAAGGAAGCAATTTAAATCCCATCTGTTAGCACTGATAATTACGTGAAAGGGAAGTAAGTTAAAGGCTCCCGTCAAAGGCTCAGAGTGTTCCACTGAGATTAAATTATCCTGAGCCAGAGCCTTTCCCTGTGGTGAGTGGGCGGGGACTGCTCATTTGCAGCACTGGTCAGCATCGGAAGGTTCTGGAAGCCCAAGGTGCTCTGGGGAGACCTCCAGAAGTTCTGTGGCAGTTGGAGCCCCCGAGGGAAGGGAGCCATTTCCTTTCCTAGCTTGGGAAAGGGCTGCCTGTCACTTCTCCATTTTCTATTGGAGCAGCTGTTTCTGTGAGCTGGTGAGCAGCCCTTAACTGTTTAGGGGCGTCGAAGACCTTAGGGGGATGGAGGGGAACCCAGGCCCCAGTGGACAGCAGCCCCATGGCCACTCCTGAAGTGGCTCTGCTCCTTGCCAGGAGCCTGTTAGGGCTCAGGCGCATCATGCAGGCCGCCCGCGCTCCCTGCCAGCTCCAGACCATCCTTGGTCCCAGTAGGCGCTGTCTCAGCCCCCACTCTGGCTTCTCCTAGAACCCCCAACCCTGGCTTCCTCCGGAGTCCTGAGGAGCCATTTCTGCCCTCTCCAGAAATACCACATGGGACGTTACTATTCACTAGGACCTCCTGGCCTGCACCCCAGGACATGGCTGGAGGGGAGTTTGAAATAAGATAGGCTGGGCTCAGCACCTGTGGCTCAAGTGGCTAAGGCACCAGCCACATACACCTAAGGTGGCGGGTT